CATAATACATTAACACAGAGATCACAGAGGTATACCTTCTCCATTCCCTTGACCAAAAAGTATCCACCTGCATCGAACAGGCACTCACTTTCCTTGAGACTATGCAACAAACATAAGTTTGATTTCACCATAACCGGAAGGAGGCCAATAAATATCCAATGAGTTTCATTCATGAAGTCCCTTTTTTGAACAAAACCATCATTCCCTGTTTTAGATTTGTCACTTTTCTCCAAAGAATAAACCTGATACAATGAAAATAACCCATAGATAATCAGGTGACCATAAAATCTAAGCAAATGTGAGTAACATTATGACACCAAAACAAGTACCAAGGTCACACTACATGTCTCCAGCTTCATCATACATAAGGAATAAGTAAATGTAACAGACTCTTCAAATGGAATCGAGCAAATGGAGAAAACAAGAATAACTATAGTGCTGATGACTGATGGGATGTCCTCAAAACACCAATCACCCATCCAGTCCCAGGCTGCTTTATTTAATATTCAATCATTTAGAACTATGCTAAACTTTTTTTCCTCATCACTGATTTTATAGCTCACCCAGGTGGCACATTTTTTTTTTTTTTGCAAAATCATGGCATATATAAAGAACAAGTAATGGACATGTAAAAGAATGAAAATACTCAGGACCTGAATAGTCACTTCTACTTTAAGTCTTGAAGCATATGTCATATTCTGGAGACGAGCATGCCAAGGTTTAAAATCAACAGAACCTTCATCTTTCCCGGTCCAAAACACAGGCTTTTCAAGCTTCACTCTCCCAAACTTGATGACGGCATGCTTCCAGCCACCTGATCCTTTCTTTGAAGGATCATAGCCAGGTTCAACAATCACTTCCCCCAGCGAATCAAAAAGCTCCTGGAGCCCATGTGAGACAAACTCATTGTAGGAATTTATTTGATGGCTAATCAGACCAACTTCATCAAAGAAGGACCTTGATGCTTCTTTACAAAACTTCTCTAGGCTTTCCACACTCATGTCGATTGGAGCATTGGAATATGGCTCGGAAGAAGACTTTCCATTAACATCATCATTGAGGGATGATTTCCCCTTAATATCCACATCCATAGAGGACTGGCCTTCATTGACATCTATAGGAGAATCCTTGCCTTCATCGACATCTATAGGTGAATCCTCGTTTCCCTCCATGCTATGGGATTTTCCTGCTCCATTATCATCCAATACCATAGTTTCTGGCTCAGAATCAGAGCCATTTGATGGTTGCCCACTGTCCTTCTGTAGCTCTTCCATTACACAAGCACTGGCAGCTTATACCCTATCAAGTATCACAAAATCACAAATTAGTCAATTAGAAATTGAAATAATACCATACAGAGTGGACTGTTAAGATCATGAAACCAAAACTACTAAGGCATTAATGATCTACAAAAAAAGGCATTAATGATCTAGAAAAAATACGGTCATAAGGCGCAAGGGGAATTGGCATGCATGAAGCATCTTTCCAAAGAGTTGTGTGCCTCAACCTTAGGATGGTGTTAAATCATTTATACAGCTCTGAGTATACACTGAGTTGCATAAAAACCAAGGAGCAAGTGATAGCACATATCAGAGAAATCCAAGCAGAAAACAATGATATACAAACATCAGCCTATCACTTATCAACACCCTGGCTCATCATCAAGTGGTGACAAACTGAAGAACTGGACGATTGCCACACATAAAACGTCAGCACAAAGCAAGTCACAACAGAGAAACCCCATCTATACTGCTGAATGGTTTTATTTTCACAGCAAGTCATTACCGACTAACGAGTCATCAAAAGACACCAGGGGATGAAACTGACATAGGAGGCACAGGCGCACAGCGATTCAGCTGAACCCTAAAAAATCATGGAAAATAAACTGCATTCTTTCTGGAAAATAAACTGCATTCTTCCTTGGTACGCTCTCAGATGCCCCACTCTAATAGAGTGCGGACGAGCGGCGGGTGGTGGATCCGAACCTGGTGGGTGAAGGGGAAGCTGCGGTAGGCCGGACGCGGACGCGGAGAGCGGGGTCGGCGGACAGCTGGCGGTGCGGCGAGGCAGCGTGTCGCCGGCGCCCGTGAGCGGTGGTGGGAGGCGGCGGCGGCGCGACCGCCGTCGCGCGTTCACTTGTTCCTTCGTAGTCCGTAGAGTGGGTGGGAGAGGGAGGGACGGAGGGTTCTGGCGGTGTAGTGCGGGAGAAAGGAGAATCGCCTCGAGTCGGGGACGGGGGGTTTAACGGGCACGACCGGCGGCGTCGACGATGCCCGGTGGTTCTGACAGGCAGGCCAGTTGTCAGAAAGTGCTCTGGGGGTCCCGGTCTCAGTGAGGAGCGCATCTTGTCCGCCGAGACAGATCGACCGTCCATGGTGCGATGCAGGACATCCGACGGCAGAACGAACCTCGTCGCGGGGATCAAGGAGGGCAAGAACATCGTGTCGTGTGATGTGATTTTCTGTGCGCGTAGAACGGGTAGCTGTTTAGTGTGCCGAACCAACGGCAATGAGAAAAGGTGAAACGATCAAACGACAAAATGTCAAGCGCTCAGCCTTCGAATGTGTTCTTTTGTTACCACGAAAGTTCCAAGTGCTTTGTCTATTAACTTAGACGAAAAATAGTGTACGGTATAGAGCCTGTTTGGTCGGAATCTTGAACGATTTGTCTAGTAAAAGTGTTGCCTAGAAGTTACCTGTAAAATAAAATTGATGACTTTTATCATACCAAACAAATTGGATGATGTGTTGTTTGGTTGGTGCCTTAGAAGACTATACTATGGCTGGCAATGCTAATAAAGGAAAGATATTATTATCAAAGTAAATGAATTGCATTATATTATCCACCTTTACTAGATTTATTATCAAAATAGTTTTTGTGAGGAAAATATTTCTAATAATAAATATTTAAATATGGTACTTATTGGTTTAGTGCCACCTATGCAGCGGTGCTCCAACCTCACACGAATAAAAAATAAAATAAAAGAGGAATACTGACAACTTAATAGAAAACAATAAAAAAGAGGATAATCACTTGTCAAACCAAACCAAAAAGCGATGCTCTAACATGCAGGCCAGGCAGCTGAACCGGGCGCTAGATTTTGATCGCCGCGGCTTATAGGGACTTACTTGCCCAGGCAAAGTCTTTCTAGACTCGTAACCAAACGAGCCCGTAGTGTAGTGGCAGAGACGCAAAAAGCACAACCTACACGTCCTCCTGTTCTCACCGAAAAAAGGCCACCCATTCTTAAAAAAAACACTTCTTGTCGACTATTTGAAACAAAATATGTGGTCCACTAATGCTTGTAGGTATGTTCTCGCCATTAGCGGCATGTACTATTAACCAGGGTTTGTGCCCTTTTTTCTCAACCCTGTGGAAGAGGGTCTTCTCCATCAATGCCTCAGGAGAGGTCTTACCCCATGGGATCGAGCTTTTTTATATTTGTACCTTACTAGCATAATAAAAACTTTTCAGATCAAACATGATCAAACGGCTCATCCTTCACATGTGTTATTTGAAAAAAAAAGTTATAAGTGTTTTGCCTATTAATAAAACAAAAAAAGGAGTTATACATGACTCTAGTCACTTGACTCGCTTTAGTGCTTTCTTCTACACCGATTTACCGCATGATCATGTTTCCTTTAGCAACTTGGGTAACAAAACAAATTAAAAAGGTCAAGAGATCCTTCCTATAGAAAAAGAGAAGATAATACTAATGGTGGCCACTGCCTTGTTAATTGGCCTGTCAAGTCCTTAAGGGGTTAAGTGTGCTTGATCTCGACAAATTTAGAAGAAACTCGTGTCTACGTTGGTTGTCACAAGTTGATGACTCTAAACCACAGGTGAGACAAAGATGTAAGGTCACATACAATTTGGCTAATGAGATGCTTTCGACGCCTCCATCATGGTTAAGACTGAAAATGGAATGAAGGCACCCTTTTGGGCACCATAATTGTCCGGAGGGTGAGGCACCTGTTCAAACCGATCAAAAGAAAAAAAAATAGTGGAGCAAGAACTAAGGAACAACACATGGATAAGAGCCCTTCATAATAACATAACAACCACAACACAAACTTGAGGATTTTCATACCCCTTTGGACTATCTGCATGACGCGGAGTCATAAATGGATGTGCATGACATGATTACCTGGAAATGGACGACGGATGGCTAATAATCTAGTTTGATTTAAAAAACGAATATAGACAGAGAACAAATGCAGACCGTGAACACTTGGCGATCTTAACGGCGTGACATTATCATCCCCTTTTTTACCAAAAGCGTCTTGACCCATTTTCTTTGTTGGGAAAGCTACAACATGAGGCAAGTTCCCCAAGCAAAGGGTTTTCCTACCATTGGTGCTTGGTGAGGAATGACGGCCAAGCAAATCCAAGCAAATCTACATAATCTGCGGAAACTTCAAAAACAAATTACTCCCCCCATTCTAAATTATAAGATGTCCTGACTTTCTAGAGATATAGTTTTTGTTACGCACTTACATATACACTATGTTTAGGTACATAAGAAAAATAATATATCTAGAAAAGACAAAATATCTTATAATTTGGAATTGAGAAAATACGTTCGAACTTCAAAATTTCCACATTACACTTTTTTCTGCAATTTTGAATAAACTATCAATTGTTACCGGTTTTAAAAATACTAGGCCACAGTGAATCCCACACTCCCACTGATTTACTAGCCTAAGGCTTGAACCCATCAGGAAGGACTAATTATTTCAGCAAATAGGTTTGCAAAAAATCGGAGAAAAACAACTTACAAGCTTTCATATAATATCTGAACCCAAGTAACTATGCAGTTCTCAGCTCTGTGCACAAGATTGACTAAATGCTAAAACCACTCTTGTACATAGCAAATAACTATAGTTACACAATGGCCATTTGAAAAATCATGTATATATTACATTGCAAGAATCATAACAGCGGCATGCAAAATAGCCTGAATTCTCTGTTTGTGCTCACTACATCACATCCTTGGTGTTTCAGGCTTTCGAACCATCAGGATTGCTTCCCAGATTGCCTCCAACTCCAAGCATGGACATCAGCCCTCCACCGTGCACCCTTCCCTCCGGCACCACGAGCCCAAAGCTCTGGCTCTGGCTCCCTCCGTCATCCCGGCCGTTGCCTGCTAAACCACACGAAGGAGAGGCCTTCAATGAGCCAGGGACCAGCACCTGATGTGGTATCAGGAGCCTGCCAGCGCTCTGCATGTCTCCCGACGAGTCAACGCAGTCTGACCATGCGCCATGGCCGGATGATGAGGTGGCATGGTCCATGTTGCTATCAGCTGCTGATGAACCAGAGACAATGCCGCTGAAGTGGGAAGGCCCAACCATGCTTCGTGCATGTCCAGAATCATGCTCTAGCTTGGAAGCCATCAGGGTCGTATGTGCAGCGCATAGACCGCTCCTTCCCCTAGCGAACTTGTCGCAGCCGACGCTCCAAGCGCATCGCTTGCCCCCGCCATGGGCCTTGCAGAAGTCAGTACTCCCCTGTGCGCTCTTGTCACACCCATCAAACCTGCAACACTTGCCACCACCGTGCTTCACACAGCATTCAGAACGACCACGGGCGCTCTTGGTGCACCCAGGAACGGAGCAGCGTTTGCCCCCTCCATGCGCAACACAGAAGCTAGTTCCGCCATGGACGCTCTTTGGGCACACCCCACCTCCCTCAAAGAGGCACCTCTTCCCGCCACCATGCCCTTTGCAGAAGGACGTGCTGCCCTCTGCGCCTCTGGTACAGCCATCAAACATGCACCTCTTGCCTCCACCATGGGACTTGCAAAAGATGGTGCTTCCTTGCGCCCCCTTACCGCAGTTTGGGTACTGGCACCGGCGGCCGCCTCCATGTGAGATGCACAGCCCAGGATGGCCTTCAGCACTACGAGTGCAGCCCTCTATCCTGCACCTTTTCCCTCCACCATGTTTTATGCAGAATCCAGATTTCCCCCTTGCCGCTCTCGGGCATTCCTCAATCCCACATCGGCGCCCACCACCATGAGCAATACATAACTCTGTCTTCCCTTCAGCGCTTTTGGTGCAGCCTAACTCTTGGCAGCGTCTCCCTCCTCCATGAGCTTTGCAGAATGCAATTCGACTCTCAGCACCTTTGTTGCAACCAGGCTTCTGGCACCTCTGGCCACCGCCATGAGAAATGCAAAGTCCTGTTGCACCCCTTGCACCTTTCGAACACCCATTGAACCTGCATTTCTTTGGATGGCGCTGATGACTCCTCTGCTCACCACTTGTACCGGCTACTATATCAGAAGTTGCAGCAAAAGAATAATCAGCTGTAATGGATAGGTCAGGGCTAGGATGAATCTCGTGATGATTCAGAGATCTATCATGATCGCTTTCAGTATCACATCCAGTTCCATCATGCTGTTGGACATCGGTGTCTGGAGATGTTCCATTAAGACAAAGATCTTCTGATCTTGGCGCAAACAGAAGTGGCAGCATATAACCACCTCGTTTCCTTTTTGCTGAAGTTGATCCCTCATCAATAAGTGGAAAGATGATACCAGTCTTCCTTGCAGGTGAATAATTCTTGCTGCCATTCGCTGTTGTAGATTGCAAATTTCTTGAGCTGCATCTTGAAAGACCCAACATTAAACTAGGGTCAGTTGTGGCACAATATTGAGTGAGCAAAGTTGCAGATTCATAAGCTTTATTTCCACCAAATGAGTGACTATCAGCAGAATACAGATTTGGCGTTGGCCCGAGTCCAAGGACCAGCCTGCAGCCATCATCAGGAGCGGCCAAACTTTGATCGCCATGCTGAAATGTTCTAGAGTTCCGGGCTATCTCTGAGCTCCTGATGCAACCCAAGTTCATGGCTGACACAGCTTGTTCTTCATTCCTGCAATTTATGGCAGATGGTTGGGCCTGGGAGAATGAAGAAGCAGCTATATGTTCCTTCCCATGAAACCAAAGATTTGTCATATTGAGGTCCATTCTGCTTAGTATAAATAAGGTAGGATTATGATAGGAAGAAATTTATATGCTGTTCAGAGACCAGATGCTTCAATCCAACCAACAGAATTCAGGACTCCAGCTTTACAACTTCACCACTGAGGAAGCACATAGTATACACAAAATGAAAATACACATGGATGTTCATGTAATGTATACCACCACTGACAAAACCTGATGTATCAGCCCTGTCCATGAGCATGAAGCTTTATTGATCCCAGATGGAAAAAGATGAGGCTGTAGAACTATGGACAAATCATATGCACACTATCTTATGCATCCAGAACCCCAAAGGAACTTCATAAAATGTCCACGATCTGCAGGTGAAGCAAGTAAGGCCATAAGTGAAATTGAACAAATAAGATTGAAGTGTAATAAGACAACATCTGATTGAAGTTACTATTCTATTTTTATTATGCAAACAATGTGAGAGGGAAAAAAGGTGCAAATATCAAGCCGACTCAATGTTTCAAAAATCTGCATGCAGCCTGCATGCAAACAAACCACAATAACCTGAGGACTGAGGTCAATTATAAATGGACTCAGAATCGTACCAAAGTTAGCATATGTATCTAATGGAAACAGTGTCGACACTCAACAAGCATACACAAAAACTTTTGCAGATCAGTTGATTTCACAGTTAAGTAGCATGAAAAAAAAATCATGGGTACGTACAGAAGCAATATGATTACTGAAGAAACTTAAAACGCCTGTGGGAAAGCCATCTAATGCTCAACATAATGCTTGCTTAATTTGAAATAGCAGCATCATTTGAAAGACTGCAATAGCACTTATTACTTCAGAATCCTTACACCAATACTCACTGACATATCTTCACAACCCTCTGAAGTTGAGTTCAAAGTTTGAAAAAAAAAATCTTTGCTGTAGAGACAGCCCATGTGACCATGTCCACTGGACAAGAAGTTGCATAATTCTAATTATAATTATATTTGTTGTTTGTCCATATCTCTTGAGCACATGTTTTACAGAGCAAAATTTAGAAATTACTGCATGGGTATGCACCACATTAAGCGATGCTGTTCACACACAGAAAATTATATGGGTACTCTAGCGAATAAAAGATTAGTTTTTCCTTGAATTGGAAACTTCAGCTTAAACATGTAACTAAGAAACTGCCTAAAAAGAAATGGATGAATTTACTAAATTCCCACTAAAATTCACAAGATCCACTGCAAAGCTTCAATTATGCCAACTTTCCTATTAAAATCCATGCACTAAAACCATAGAGAAAGACAATCATTTAAGGCAGTATCTTAACTTCCGTGCATCCAATAATTCTAGCACAAAACAGTTAGTCCTGAAATGATTGTCACAAGAACTCCACTCAAAGAAAAGCCTTAAATTCTCAAGACTTGCAACTAAAGAAGAAAGAAGATTAAACAGGGAAGAGGGAAAGAATTGTGAACTTTGCAAGGAGCAGCAAATCAACAGCAGAACATCTTTGTCTGATCTCTAGTTTGATATAAGAAGTTGCAAATTCCCAAAGATAATGATTTCTTTTGTTTGACCAATTTTTTTGAACTCATGTTATAAGTTAGAAAATCTAGAAACCATCACACAGGTACGTAAAAGAAAAAAAAAGGTTGTGTGCTAACCTTAAGGCTAAGACAATTGCTTAGGTGCTATTAGAAAACAAACTTCCTTGGATTTGAAAGGCAGAAATATGCATCAGAAATTGACAAGGAAAGATGAACATTGCAAATCACAGCATGTACCTTGATTTTAATTTTTCAAACTTTAGAGAAGATAAGCATACTAATTTCTCTACAGAGACATGGATTTACCAAATTTCCACTAAAACTCACAAGAGTCACAGCAACTGCTACAATTTGCCAAGTTTTGCTCTAAAACTCATCCATTGGGGTCATAAAGAAAAATAATCCTTCAAGCACAAGACCTTAAGCGAGCTTCATGCCCTATCACAGCACAGGGCAAACAAGTCCTACTACTAAGTAGTACTAATAAAGGGACTGCCACACGAACTCCACCTCCTCCAAGAAGAAACGATTAAAACTTGAGAGAAGGTGAGAGCTTGCGCTTTTCATAGCAAGGGAGAGAGAAGTGAGAGGCGGAGATCAGTATCGGCGCGGAGAACCCCGGAGGCGGCGAAGCGAAAGGGTGGAGGAGACCAGGGCGGCGAGGGGAGCGATGGGGACGCGAGACGCGAGACGCGAGATAAAAAGAGGCGTGGGGAGGAAAAGCGGGGAGCTTCATGCCATCGTGCGTACCGATGCCATAGGGGGGGTGGGATTTGGCTTTTGGGGCTCGGGAGGAGCAGCAGTGCACCACCACCACCCGAGTGAAATCAACCACCTAATCATGGCATCATGCGCGATTTGGAAGCGGACGCGCGGCCTGGCGCTCGGATGCGGCTTCGGCCGCAGCCACAGCCGCAGCCACGGCGCGGCATCGCGGGGCGGCGACGCGGTGAGCCGGACGCGGGCTGCTGCTGCTGCTGTCTGCACGCCCGCGCGCTGGCGGCGTCGTGTCGCGTGGGGCTGGGGGCAATGGGGCATCGTGGCGTGGAGCCTGGAGCGGCGGACGGTGGGTGCGGTGGCCGCTTCAATCAGTTCTGACGCCATGAACAGCTCCTTGTTTTGTTTTTGCTCGGCGGCCGCGTGCGTGCGTAAGCTTAACGACCTTTAACGAGGCAAGCACGGGGGCCCCGCAGCCCCGCACCCGCGTGGGTCAGCGCCTCCTGGCCGTCCGATTGGCTGGCCACAATCCAGGGACCACTAGAATAGAATTACCACATTATTTATACTACAAGAAGAAGAAATGGTCCTGTTTTTAACATTATCTCTTACAGTGACAAGGTGTCCACGGTGGGCCTGAAAGATCATCGTTCATCGTTGCTAGTGGTAGCGAACAGTCTCTGAAAACAATGGCACCGGCTGTATCCGTACAGTGAGAGATCTGTTGGGATCGACATCGACATGGCCAATTCGCTGGAGGCCACCAAATCATGCGACATGTTCGTTTGGTTTATATGTCGTATTTTTCAGTCAACGAACAATATTTTTCTCTTACAATTAATTAACCAATAGTATTTTCAGCCATGACTTATCAGTCAAGCGAATAGGCAATGGAGGAAGGAAGGGTTAAATCTGCGGCACCGATGGACCCCCGGCGAAACGTACGAGCCTAGTGTGTCGGGTCTGGACCGGTGAGCGTGCGCACACATAGGGTCACCTTTCCGGACTCGGAGGGACAGCTCGTAGGATGGGGGTCACGCTGGGCCAGTGGCGGATCTGCCACCGGGGCTCGAGCCCCCCACCCACCCACTGCGGCCGCGCCCATGGAGCAGCAACGCAGCACAACGCCCGCACCAGTAAGCAGCAACACAGCACGATAGTAGCCGGCGGTTAGCGTCCAGCACAACAGCTTGTTCAGCCCCCAAGGATTTTGTCCTAATCCGCCACTGCGCCGGGCCGCACAGCTCCGACCGATCATGCTAGAGACCACCGATCGGCTAGCTTAGCTCTCGTCCGTCCTCGGAAGGGGGACGGAAGCGTCCGCACTCCAAAGTCCGCACAGTTATGCAGTTACGCTGGCGTGGCGGCACGGCACCGCTCGCGGCAGCCACCGAGCCGGCGCTCCTCGGCTAGGCTCGGCAAGTCAAGGCGTGGCGAGCTGCCGAGCAGAGCCGCGCCGCGACGCGACGCGAGAGGGAGGAAGGAATCAAGGAAAGGCGAGTCAAGGAGGCGCCGCGCCCGGTTGCCACCGCCCCGCGCCCGCGCGCCCCATTCGCTGCGTCCGGGCCGTCCGTCCACGCGACGCGACGCGGGGCCGACGCGGCGTTACGTGCGCGCGCGCGTCAGCGCTCAGCCGCTCACATCCCACTGCTCGGCCACCGCACGGCGCACGTGCGAGTCGCAATCGTAGCCATCCCCTCTGGTTCTCGGCGTCCGCAAGGCAGCCCAGGATTCGACCACCGCGCGCACGGCCGAGCCCACCGGCCCCGGGCACGCCAGAGGGCAGAGGCATGGCGCCATACCGCCATGAGGGAGTGGCGTGTCCGGCGGAGGAGTTTACCTGGCCCGTCCAATGGCGAGGCGCCGCATTTCGTAGATGTTGGTTCGTATTCTCCCTGTCAAGTCAAGCGACGACGTGCCGTCTTGGACTCGGAACATCTCGGACGTCGACGTACTGAGTACAGGTGGAGGAGACCTCCATCACAAGAGGCGAATAAACCATATACAATACAATACACAGCGATCAGTTTTAATTTTGGTGCAGTCCCCGAACAACAAGATTAGCAGGCGTGAGTGGAGTATAATACTACAAATCCTTTTCGTAGTAGAGATTCTTCAAACGGAGAAAACATGGCTGCAAAAACCCTACTACAATATTATGGCTAATTTATTTATGTGCAGCCTGGCTGGCACCGTTCCGGCGATCCGAAAACCAAGTTGCAAATGAAGCATCAACGTCGGTGCAGGTAGGGTTGGCGACGAGAATAATACAAGCTGATGAATCATGCAGTTCATTACATATGGGCTGCGGTACGGTTTTATCACTTTATTAATAAGTAATAGGTAATAGGTGTACTTTAATCCAGAATAGGACTATTTTATTGCAATTATCAGGCACAAGAAAGCAAAAAAAGGTACTAGATTCTTTTCTTCTTGAATGAAAAAAGGAGAAGTTGAAGCGTAACATGGCCACCCTTGATTGGAGTAGACAATCCAGGCAACAATAATAATAACAACAACAACAACAAAGCCTTTAATTTCCAAAAAGTTAAGGTAGGCTAGAGTTAAAACCCAGCAGAAACAATCAAGGTTCAGGCACATGAATAACTGTTTTCTAAACACTCCTATCTAAGGTTAAGTCTTTAGGTATATTCCATCCTTTCAAGTCTCCTTTTATTACCAATACCCAAGTCAACTTCGATCTTCCTCTACCTCTCTTCACGTTACTATCCTGGCTTAGGATTCCACTACGCACCGGTGCCTCTAGAGGTCTCCGTTGGACATGTCCAAACCATCTCAACCGGTGTTGGACAAGCTTTTCTTCAATTGATGCTACCCCTAATCTATTACGTATATCATCGTTCCGAACTCGATCCCTTCTTGTATGACCACAAATCCAACGCAACATACGTATTTCCGCGACACTTATCTGTTGAACATGTCGTCTTTTCGTAGGCCAACATTCTGCACCATACAACATAGCAGGTCTAATCGTCGTCCTATAAAATTTAACTTTTAGCTTCTGTGGTACCCTTTTGTCACATAGGACACTAGATGTTTGGCGCCACTTCATCCACCCTGCTTTGATTCTATGGCTAACATCTTCATCAATATCCCCGTCTCTCTGTAGCATTGATCCTAAATATCAAAATGTATCATTCCTAGGCACTACTTGACCTTTCAAACTAATATCTTCCTCCTCCCGAGTAGTAGTGCCGAAGTCACATCCCATATACTCAGTTTTAGTTCTATTGAGTCTAAAACCTTTGGACTCCAAAGTCTCCCGCCATAACTTCAGTTTCTGATTCACTCCTGTCCGGCTTTCATCAACTAGCACTATATCGTCCGCGAAAAGCATACACCAAGGGATGTCCCCTTGTACATCCCTTGTGACTTCATCCATCACTAAGGCAAACAGATAAGGGCTCAAAACTGATTCTTGATGTAATCCTATCCTAATCGGAAAGTCATCCGTGTCTCCATCACTTATTCGAACACTAGTCACAACATTGTTGTACATGTCCTTAATGAGCCCGACATACTTCGTTGGGACTTTATGTTTGTCCAAAGCCCACCACAGAACATTCCTTGGTATTTTATCATAAGCCTTCTCCAAGTCAATAAAAACCATATGTATGTCCTTTTCCTTCTCCCTATACCACTCCATAACTTGTCTTATTAAGAAAATGGTTTCCATGGTTGACCTTCCGGACATAAAACCAAATTAGTTCATTGAGACCCGCGTTATTGCTCTCAAGTGATGCTCGATAACTCTCTCACATAGCTTCTAATGGAGATGAAACCCGAAAGTTGACAATCCAGGCACCTAGAAAAAATGATTTTGCAGCGGAAAAGAACAGCCACACAGACAAAAATCTTACTAGCTAGTCTGATATGATACTGTGCGAACTTGCAATAGACCAAATCGTGTTAACTATAACAGTTCTGCAGGACACTAGGACACAATAAAAGCATCCACAAAACATACTACAAAATTGCTGATAGCTTTACAACTTTAACAATGGGAAAACAAAAACTGTATATCACACGCTCAAATCAGGAATATTTTTCTCAACTGGCACTGGTTAGATCCTAAAAGACTTCATCCTCCTGCATCAGGATCTCCTCCTCCGCTGCTCCCCAACAACAGCTCCGAGGCTTTCCACCGCATGAGGACGGGCAGCAGCTCTACAGTAAATTGATACGAGCTAAGGAATAGTGCAAAGTGGAGAACTGTAAACAAAAGAATACAATGAACAATGCCTGGTTTCACCCCAGTAAGAAGAAATACTAAAAATGACAACTATGGACATGTAGCTGCTCACTGAACTTTCAAGATTGCCATAGCGTGGATAACTAAAAGTGTTCCCAAGAGCCAATATGGAATCTGGCGAAACTCATAAACCAGAAATTTGTTTGTATGAGAAAATAGTACCATTGAAAGTGTACTTTCTAAACTGGATTAAATCCTGGTAGATGTTCCAGACAACCTAGCATCCTTATCTGCTAGGAATTCTGAAAGCACATTAAGAACATCAAGGACACAGAAATCTCTTCACCACAAAAAGCTGAAGTGATGCTTTGATATTGATATCAAATAATTTTTTAATAGAACTACTATCCGGGGATCATGTTTCGGGCACTCAGAATTCCTTAGACTTCAGTATCAGGAAATTGAAGAATAAGACATACCTTGGAGCAAGTGTATATGATGACTGTCAGCCAAGTCCAGCTGCTGGGTGCATAATTTGAGGAACCGTCTCCAGCTTCATGGAGAAAGTATGATAAAGGAGACATCAATTGCAGTTCATATCTGCGTGGTGAACCACACAGCCTACAGGTGCCAGGATCTTGTAATTTTGTTGTAGCCAACAGTGGCTTGCCACCATAAGAATACCTAAAGAAATATTGCATGCCAAAATTTAATTTAGGCTGTGCAAACCAAAAAGGACAAGAAACAAATGGTTTGCAAATACCAAGTCAGATTGCAATGACACTATATGAACTAAATGTTTAACTACCTAAAGCATTGCTGGGGATATGCATCCAGCTGTTTCTTGAATTTTAAAAAAGTTCTGTCAGCACCAATAGCTTTATCATACTCATACTTCTCTCCTTCCCATTTTTCTTCTTCATCATTTGTGGTATTCATGATTTCTTTGTCCATAACCAGCTCACTGCTACTTGAACCCACAGTGCCTTTGCCCCCATATAGTTCCTTATCATAATATATGTAAAAACAAGGAAGAACTGCAACAAAATTCTATCAGATCAAAACACTCAGATTTTGCATACATGGTAACGAGTTCTTTCAAACTTGTCCTCACCTGGTATGCTCAGATCACATGCTTGCTCCTTCAATACAGGACGTTTTACAGGAGCATTAGCATGCTTCGATTTATTCTTCTTCTTTGAGTTAGATGCCAAAGTTGCAGCTTGCTCAAGTGCTTCGGCTAAGGCATCTAGATCAAAATCGTCGTCGTTGATCTCAGGAATTTTATTTTTATCATTCTGTTCTTCTAGAAGACTTGTAGAAGAAGAAGGTCCATTCGATTGACCTAATTCATCACCACTGCCTTCTGTTTGCATAGCATTACGGCATTTTTGAACTCTTAGGACCTTCCAACTATAAGAAGAAAAAGGGAAACAAAAAAGAGAAAACGGCATACTGGCTTAAAATCATGTAAAGGTCTGGATATCTAATGAACAGACTGAATCAATTGGCAAAAACTTGCCTTTTAGGTTTAGGTCCACATTCTGGTTTTGGGCAAACAAGCACATAGATTACCCTCTCCTCAATGATTAGCTTTGCCACGGGCGCATGTACCTTAGGTTAGGTTAGAATTATTATTTTTACAGGAACACCACTAAATAGGGTGAGGCAAAAGTACTAGTATCAAGATACAAGCGTTCTGTACCATCATGGATCAGTAAGGAAACATAGTTTGCAATGCTAAGTCAGAGAATTGCAAGCTTGTAACTTTACAAGCCTGTGCCCAAGCACCGCGACACTCCGTTTCCTTACAAGACTGTGACCATAAAGGGACTGTTTGGATGAGTTTTAGATTCTTAATCACCAGTTTTTGTCTCTAATTTTTAAAATCTGGATTCTGAGCAAAAACTGGTTGGAGTGTTTGGATCCTCCAGTTTTTAAGAATCTGGCTTCATTTATTGCTCACAGAGTCACCAGAAATTGGCAAAAGCTGGGTATCAACAGCTTCTTCGTGGTTTTTAAGAAGGGATCCCTTTTAAGAATCTGGCAAAAACTGACGGAAGTGGGCAAAAACTAGCATGTTTGGATCCCACCAGTTTTCAAAAACCAGATTCTTAAAAAAAACTGGTGGGATTCAGACAGGGCCAAAGATGTTTCAACTAGTAAAATCTTGGTAAATCGACGGACACTCACCTGAGCAACAAGACAAAGCTTGGTCCCACATAAGCTGCACTGAAGAGTCTCGGGCTTAATGCCCATATCACCAGTTGGCCAATCCTGCAGAAAAAAATCAGCAAACGACTCAAAAGGAGCTCGGCATGCAATTACTGATGCCCCATTGCTTATGATCGCTCAGAAAAAAAAACTCACGCCTCTGAGAAGAATCATCAAGTAAAAATTATAATCGTGGTGGGTTAACTGAAGAAGATGCGTGACATAAGCTCCGCCTCTAATTCCTAAGCAAAAACATAAGCTAGAACCAGGAAGAGCTACACACAAGAGACATACAGGGACGCCACCGATCTTAGTGGTGTAGTGGTCGGCCTTCTCCCGGTAATCCGCCGCCCAGGGACCTGGCAGACCTAGATGCACCTCCTCCGCCATGCCCACCTCCCTGCCTCTGTGCTCTTCCTCGGCAAAGGGAGGTTCAACCAATAAGACGAAGTCCTTTATAACGCAAAGGCTCGGACCCCCCCTGCTACTCGTCGGGGACCGGCGGCGCGAAGAGACGTGCGCGGAGACGCGGAGCGATGGGGAGCTTGGGAAGGTTAGGCGGCGACGGCGGTCGGCGGGGCAAGAGCTGCAGTGCAGGGGCCAGGGGGGCTGTGTGACTGTGAGCCAATCTGGGCCGGCGCTGGTATCCTTGAAAGAGGTCTGCTGAAAACTGATATGGGCCTTGTAACGGCGGTAAGGCCCGCCCAGGAAATATGGATTTGATGGATGCGGCCCATATTATTTCTCCGAGGCTCCGAGCCAGCAGGGCCTTGCTGCCTTGCCCTGCCTTTGCCTTCTTGATGATCTCATCTCACCCTCCGGCGACCACGGGTCGCTAGCTTCCACCGCCGCCTCCCGCGTCTTCATCGCCAGCAGACGAGCACGGGGGCACTTGTCGGCTCGCTGTACTTCCGCCGATCTATGTCCTATGCCCCAGCACGTAGGTACATACCTAGCTCCAACTTTTTGTGTGTCCATTTGCCGTCTAATATTCGCGATGTTGTACGTGGCACTATCAGAGACTTGATTTGACTAGTAAATCACTCAGAAAAGCTCTAATCATCAGCACTATCGGTCGTGATTAACAATTGGTTGTTGCGAATTAAGGGGGTGTTCGGTTCCGGGGACTAAAATTTAGTCCATGTCATATCGGACATTCGGATGTTAATTAGGAGGACTAAACATAAGTTAATTATAAAACTAATTACACAGATTGCGACTAATTTGCGAGATGAATTTATTAAGCCTAATTAAACCGTCATTAACACATATTTACTGTAGCAACACATTATCAAATCATAGACTAATTAGGCTTAAAAAATTCGTCTCAGAAATTAATCGCAATCTGTGTAATTAGTTATTTTTTAATCTATATTTAATACTCCATGCATATATCAAACATCCGATGGGACAGAACTAAAATTCGGTCTAAGGAATCAAACAGGCCCTAAGCCTCGTAGTTTGAAGGTGGGCCAAAAGCGACGGATCATCAGATCGGGATACGACGATTAACCAACACCTTCGTCTTCCAGATCTGAAGATGCCATGCCAACAGTGGCTTCTCTGTGGAACTGAACATTCTCCGGCGGTGGCACTTCGGTCCCATACGACATGCCGGAGCACGTTCTGATATTCGATCGGCTAGCACGACGCGACAACGTAAGATACAACCGGACTTGTCACGGAGCAACCGAATGCAGGCTACGGGATCTGACAGCTTGCCTCTGTTCGTTTCGCTGAAATTTAGCTGATGCTGATGTCTTATAAGAGAAAAATATTGTTTTTTTGCTGAAAAATACTGCTAAAGCAGTGCAGGGCGCTCATAAGTGGAATGTACAGAACCCTGGGTTCGTGACACGTACGAGAGTGGACGACTCGATTAAAATTAAATGGATCGTTTCGCTGCACTTACGATAAAATGCTTGTGCTGGATCTAATCCATTAGGATCCCAAATGCTCTACAGCTAATACGTTCAAAGTTATGCCACCACGATACTGTTTGGCGGGACTGAAAAATAAGTAAAAATACTGTTCCGGCTGATTGCTGTGAGAGAAAAATATTGTTCTGTCTGATATCACTGTTCACGTGAACAGTGATTCGTGGGTGGGCTGGCCAGCCGGCCACCAGCCAGCCGAACGCGCTCTAGGTCAGAAATACTGAAGCTCTGCACTTTTGTGCGGTACCCAGTAGCTAGAATTTGTCAGAATATACTTTTTTTTAAAAAAAAAACTTTGTCAGAATATGTGCTCCAGAAGTGCAGCGTACGCTGGACTACTGGAGGAAGCACCGGCCGATTTCTCTGAGCAAGAATCCAGAAGACAAATAATATATATATATACATGGTGTTATTTGATTTGTACTACTGAAATCCTGGATATCTATCTCGATCATGAGGTGCTACAAAGAACAGCACGCATGATGTTTCCCAGACAACTGTGAGCTCTGTGCTGATGGATCATGGATGTTGCAGTTGCAGAGCAGTTGCAGGCCATGCTGATCTGAAGGTTGGCAGCTGGGACACTGAAAAGATCAAAAGAGGTTGGTAGAATATCACTGCTCTACTACTCTGCAGCGACATTTTTCGAGTTGATGAGTGGGTCTCAGACCCGCGATGAGTTTATCGCAAGCAAGGGAGACCCACCAGCCACTAACCTGTGCCTGCTGCATAATCTCTATCCTATGTATCCCAACTGTCTCGATGATGAAACCACATCTTGTAATCCCAGAGATCAAAATAACTGGCACTTTCCGTATGAGTAGACTGGCATTAGTAGGAACACAAAACGCGTGATCATCAAAATGTTGCTAAAGGCTAAAGTACACTCTGAGAGGTGAAAATAACACTGGCATGCAGATAGCATTAGGTGGTGGTAGAACTAGCTTAGCCTGGCTATAGTCAACATGGCAGCCGTACATCTCCCGGGATCGTTTTCAGTACCTGCATTGCATGAGTGACGAGCCAGCAACGCTCGAACCATCATCATCACCTGCAACTGCAAGACTCTAACGGCTTCTCTTGCCCACCACGCACAACACCTCGCATCGCACCGGCTGACAGCGACGGCGGGCGGCAACGGATTCGGTGCCCACCCGACGCGTTGTTGTTAGACGCACCGATGACGCCGGAACGAACTGCGGGGTCGTCCCCCCGGTTCGGGCCTCGGTTCCGCGCGCGGTCACGTCGGCACCACGCGCGCCCGGCCCGTGACTGCGCCCCCGGGCGGCCGCGGCCGCGCACCGCCTGCTCGTACGCTGCTGCGTCCGCAGGTGCGCATGCAGAAAGTCACGGGAACCTACGCCCATTTCTGGCGTTTTATGCGGGGCGCCGGCCCGGGCGTGGCCCGTGGGGACGCGCGGCACACGGGCGTGCGTGGCCTGCCGCGGGCGCCGTGGCGTCTTGCTGGGTCTCTGGTAGTCTGGTGCATGCACGCACCACGGGCAGACAGGTAGCACGTACGTAGCCTCCTCCTGCTGCTGCTGAAACAACAAGCCCTGTTGGTCCCGAGAAAGGGAAAGAATCACGCGTGCGTCGTCGATCGTACAGGAGACTCTCGTGCTTTGCCTTGCTCACGGAGTCACGGTCCATGATCTCGTCCCGGTAGCATGCATGTGGTGTGCATCCGCAGCTCTGCGCGTACACTCTGTCGCGGTGCGCCGCTCTGCGTCGGCTGCCAGTGTCCACGGTCAGGGTCTCAGGCCCCAGGCTCACGAGAACTGTTTCACCTCTGCGGATATGCTGGCGCTGGCGCGTGTGGTTACCAATTGTGGACGGCCAAGGGCCAACCGATCACATACGCTACCCTGCTGTGTGCCCGGTCGTATGCGTGCATCGAGGGTTCTCAAAGCAGCACAGCACTCGTACCTTTCAGAAAGAACGATGCAGGAATGCAGGATCGCAGTGTAACTACTACTCCTGCATGCAGCACGTATGCAGATATGCGCATCGTAATAAAACCCAAAACCATACTTAAATCTGTTTGCTTTTAGTACAACAATCGCAAGCAACTGCGTCCCGTAACTGGTAGGGAATCATGCTCCCAACCATTTCTGACCGAAAAGGGCAAAAGGCCAGTATGTACCGGTGCACAAAGGTGCATGTGCATTTGACTACAGAGCAGAGCAATCTGATGCATTCCCATCGACTCTGAGCTCTTTCTGACGAGTGACGACTGCTCCTTTTATCAGGTGGTGATGTGCAACCTGACAGATATCTGTTGTGTACGCTCTACGGCACGGTGCCGGGAAGGAAATGGTAATCGGGTTCGGAAGAAGCTACCGTATTTCACGTCATGGAAGCGATTCGTACCGTATGGCACCCGTACTCCTAAAAGAGAACTGTCTCCAACTCTCCATCACGTACGGTGAGTCGGTGACGGTGCATTGACCGGTAAGATTTCATACCGAGACCATTTGGGCATGCTCGCAGCTCTGACTTGCGAAAGCAAGGCACATTGCCCTGTTTCCGGACGGGAACTTTCCATCTGACCGAGACCTCTGAGCTCGACATCTGGACCTGACGTTGCCGTTTCATCCTACACGAAGGGAAATCCGCTTGACGTGCAATCTGGGTGGTCCACCGGATGGCCTCGCCGCGCACTCGCGCAGGACCAGCGGCCCGAAACCGTCGCCCTGATCCCGACCGCGCGTCGCCGTCGAGCTAAACGCACACTCGCGACGGCCGTTTAAGAGCGAGATTCGTTCGGTGCGGATCATCAAGGCCTGTATTGCCACATGGAAACAGCAATGATGGTCATCTCGAAACCGGTTTTCTGGACTGCGAGGAGACACGGTCCCTGCGTGTCGATACGCACCGGTTCATGTGATGGACATGACGATACGGCCGGCCTGAAATCTGTATGTGTGGATCCCAGGGAAACATGCACGCATGCGATCGATGCGTCCATCCAGTGCGTATAAGTGTAGCCTTATCTCTGTACTACCCCCGTATACGGCTGCTGAAAACAGTCCGCCTAACCACCGATGGTCCTGCGATCAAAGCAACGGGATGAAGCGGCACGGACGGATGAAGCCACGAGCAGCGCCGGCCGAATTGACAGTGTGTGACGGTTCTGATATTCTAGTCTGATGGTGGCCGGCTCAACCACCGAATGTGTCGGTAATCTCGTACGCATTGTGCGTCTTTGTTGCGTTTCCTTTTCAATGGTGGCAACCACCGCGCTTTCCGTGGAAGAAGAATCTCTCGTCTCGTCCGTCCCCAAAGCCCACTCCGTGACTCCGTCGGTCACGTACACCGGAGTAGCTAGTCCAAAGCTCACGTCGAGCAGGTTCCCGTACCATGCACTCTGTATTTCCAGTATTCTTTACCTTGCGTTCACTCGGGTGACAACGCCATTACCGGATCACGCACACCCACGTTCAAGGCAAGTAA